TATCACAAAGTGGAAAGTGACTAATAAAAACTTAAAAGAGTTCAATCTAAAAAAGTACCAGTAACCTTAGCATTTGTGCTTTTGGCAACAAATTCCAATATTTGGCTTGGATCCTTTGAGTTGAGAAGTCGTGTGCATGTATCCTCTAAGTGGAGGGCTTAAAAATGTTGAATAGAGCTTTTCATGTATATCATAATCAGTATTTTAGTTGGTTTCATGTCATTTTGCTTATATATGACTTTCAATGTGCAATTATACTTCAGAACAGCAAGATGGAGGGCTTTATTAGCAGGGGCAGTAGCTGGACCTTCAATGTTCCTCAYTGGATTCAACACACAGCATACAAGCTTGGCACTTGGCAGTTTATATTTTTATGCGTGCAGCTGCCTTGGCATCACAACAAGCGATTTGGATGCATTTGTAAACCTCTCACTTGGGCCCATGGAGATCTATTCCTAATGTGTCTCTCTTCTACCCAGATATTGTATGTATTCTTCCCATGTCAACTTTTCCTCTTCAAGTTCTCACAGATTTCTGTATCTCTTCATTAAATATATTATCACTGGCTCTTCTTGTCCAGCCTTAGAATGAGAGGTATCGTAGTTTAGAAAAGAAAAGTACCAAGCTTTAAAATGATTGTATCTACATGTGTGACTTATCTGTTCTACAGTAGTCTTTGTTTTTCTTCCTTAACCACCAGTTGTYAGTAATGTGCTTTGTTCATCCTATTCTCCTCACATCTRTCACTAATAGGCTAATACCATGATARCATATAAATTATTTGTATTTCAAACTCCTTATACCATGATAGCATTTTAATTAGTAGACAATACACTCACAGGCACTATAATTTGGCAGTATAGGTTCAAATTGTTTTAAGTTCTATTATATTATTAGTTTCAAGAAGAGAACTTACATCTGCGACCTTTGCAACAGAAGATTCTCTCAATAACTTTACCCAGGGAAATTACGAAGCAGTTACACTAGAAAATGCACGTCCAAAATAGTCAGCAAACCTCATCAACTGTATCTCTTGTTGTGCCTCGAATGAAGTTTATAGACACATATACATGAGTTACAAAGATTAGTTTGCAATATTAAAGTAATAATCAAAGAAAATTTTAGCAGTTCTCAAAACTAAAGCTTAAAGCATGAATTCAAACAACTGGCTTTCGTTTCCTCTTTCTCCAACTCACTCATCCTTACCACCCTATCTTCATACTGCTCAATCCCACAAATTTTCTCTTGGACTTGTCCATGATAACATGGACACCCCCTTCCCTAACCAAGGTAGATTCACTTTTATTAGATTCACATAACTGTTATTGTTAATTAGTTTGCTTGTTTATGTAATGTTGCTGTTAAAATATTGGTGCAGAATGGAACTTAATAGGGGAACAAGGCAACAACGATCAAATCCCTAAAGTTGCTGATTTTTTGGGTGTGAGCAAGTCCGAGAATTCTTCAGATCATGTGGCATATAATGATATCCAGGGTAATGACACTGATTATCTGTTCACAAGCAGCAGTCTGTTGCCTCAAGTTCAAAACACGTACTTTATCTGCCATGCCTACAAGTTACGAACTGCCAGAAAATGCAAGCACTTTGCAATCTTTGACATTGTCTATGGGTAGTGGAAAGCGTTCAACTTGTGAAACAAGCATAGGAGAAAACTTGTACAACTTCGAATTTTGTTTTATCAAATCAATTCGTAAAACTTTCATGTATGCTTCTAAATGTAATATTACTGAAGGATTTTATAATTGGATGATGCGTCTCGCATTATAGTCATTTAGGACGCTTTTAGTGTTAATTATTATAGCCTATTAGGACACTTTTTTAGTATTACTTAGTTCATTTTATTGGACACTAAAATTTGTTTCATAAAAACATTTTTTGGGACATTGAATTTCGTCCTATAAAAACATTTTTTGGGACGCCCATATTTGTTTCTAAATGTAAACATTTTGTGACAACATAAAGTGTCCTATATTATCGTCTATTAGGACACTTTTTAGTGTTACTTAAACTATTTTATAGGACTATGGGTTTAGTATCATAATCCTAGAGTTTTTTAGGACACTCAAATTCATCCTATTAACCTAATACAACACCTTTAGATGAGACACATATATTTTTTGTCCTATAAACTTAAAAGTCCTATTAACTACCTTATTAGGACACTAATGAGTGTCCTATAAAGCCTTTTTTGTTGTAGTGATATTAGTATGATATTGGATCTACTGCAGTTCAAAATTTGATTTAAAGGATTAGAATTCAAAATTTATCTCAACAATTCGCACACAGGAAATTGCACTCATACAAGACTTAGAAAAAATTAAGCACATAGACTTATCCGGATTAGAAGTCCGGACAAGCTTATCCGGATTAGATATCCGGACAAAAAGATAGTCTTAAGATTTCTAATCAAAACAAGTTATCCGGACAAAAAGATAGTCTTAAGATTTCTAATCAAAACAAGTTATCCGGACAAAAAGATAGTCTTAAGATTTCTAATCAAAACAAGTTATCTGGATTAGATATCCGAACAACAAAGACAATTAACTCGCTCAATTCACAACAAATCCGGATGAGAAATCCGGTCAATTCAAACACTTAGACAAATTCGCACAATAGAATACGGACGAAAAAAGTCAACAAGTCAACCTAGTCAACAAGTCAATATACGAACAAATCCGTTCAATTACAAAGTCAAACTTTTCAATCCGTTCAAAAAGTCAACAAAATCAAATCGCTTGACAAAGAATCAAAATCCACTCACTAAAGTCAAAATCTGCTCAACAATCCGTTCACTAAGTCAAAGTCAAAGTCAAAATACGATCAAAGATTAAATCGCACAAGTCCACAATATATCAGGCGGATTAAGCTAAATCGCTTACTAAATCGCACACGTTACAAACGATTTAAATCTAAATCGATCAAGCTTTACCCGGTTTATTCTAAATCGAACAATCATAATTCACAAAATTCACAAGTTTTAAATCGAACAAGCACTAGACGATTTACACTAAACCGATCAAGAGTTATACGGATTAGAATTCAACCAAAAACACAATTTTAATACTTTTTCACCAAAAACTTGGATCAAAACATGAAAAATTATGGGTTTTTGAAGAACAGAAAAAATTTTTAAAAACTCAAATCGATCAAAAACAGTTCAAAACTTGATTAAAATCAAAATCGATGTGAATCAAAGATGTTCAGATTGAAAATGCGAATCTAGTAATGCAAATTTTATCAATTAACACTCAAAATCGATGTGATTAAAGCCAAAAATGTGCAATCTGGTCGATAAAACTCAAGAACAGATGATGAACAGTAGGTTAAATCCCCTAAATCCGTGCAAATTCCTCGAAAAAATTTAAAATCCTCTATTCAAATCGCTGCAGTCTATGTTTTGATACCAATTGATGTTCCCAAAAATCATACAAAATGAACAAGATTAGTAGAGAGAGATTTTCATCAATATTGCTATTGTATTTCTTGAAAGAAAGTACAAAATGAATAAGAGCACTAATCAGATTATCAACTGAACTAATGACAATTAGAGAATTAAATCCTATTTATACTAAGGAAATAGTAAAGAGTAACTATTACAAAAGCATTACAATAGGAGAAACTTGAATACAACTTTAAAGCACATTCTTGAACCCAACATGTAATAACCCCATTGATGTAAAAAATCGTGTGATCAACGTTGAGATTAATAAACCCAATGAGGCACTATGGCGACAATAGGATAATTTGTGTGCAATACCCCGATTGAGGAAAGAAGCTGTGAAAATTTGTGACACCAACAATCCCATTGATACAAAATCGAAGCAATGTGATAATAATGTGATAATCTGTTAGAGATGTCGCTTGCTTAGTTGCTTCCGTCGTTTTCTTGTTTTTGTCCTCATTCGTGATAAATATGTGTTACAGATATGAAACCAATGTCTCCTATCAATGCGACTTTACCATATGTTGATTATGTGATAAAAATGTGATATATACAATCTGATCGTGTTGTTTGATTTTGTATTTCTATTTCTATTTTTACCCCTCCATATCTTTAATATTTTTTAATCCCTCAAATCCTCTTGACATGTGATTTAAAATATAATACTTGGTTTACAAGTGTTTTCATGTTTTCGTAAATCATAAGGGTTCTCGTTTGAAACCCTTTCATATCCATATATGTATATATGTATATATATATATACACTACAACAAAATCGGGTTTATAGGACACTCCCAATTTCTAAGTGTCCTAATAGACCTCTTTATAAAACTTAGTTTATAGGACCAAAAAAATAAAGCGTCATATCTAAAGATGTTGTAATAAGTTTATATGACGCTTTTGGGCGTCTTAACAAGTTTTTTAAGGACATTTTTAATACATAGTGTCGCATTAGCAACTTTATAGGACACTTTCTCAAAAGTGTCATATAAAAACAAATGTCCTATAAAAAAATTGAGTTTATAAGACACTTTTCTCAAAAGTGTCCTATAAAGTTGTTAATGCGACACTTTTTATTAAAAATGTTCTATTAAGACGTTCAAAAGCGTCATATAAACTTATTACAACACATTTAGATAGGACACTTTCTATTTTGGTCCTATAAATTAAGTCCTATAAAGCGGTCTATCGGGACACTTAGAGATTGCGGATGTCCTATAAACCCAATTTTGTTGTAGTGATATATATATATATATATATATATATATATATTCTATGTATATTAAAAATGTGGAGCAGCGGCAGAATAGGGGTAATTTATAATACAGAAACAAACGTATGGACACCACCAAACAGTCCATATTTGGACTTTGACGTAACAAACTTCCTACCACATATCTTAATTAATCAGATTTTCATGGGTTTGGATATTATTAGTTGTTTTTTTTTTTTTTTTATGATTTTTCATTTCAAACAGTTGCGGTAAGAAATCTAAGATTTCAAGAGTCAAATGAAGTTGATTCGTTCAATCTTCATCTCTCATCGACCAATAGCGATTGATCATATCTTCATCAGAAACCCTTTTTATGTTGTAAGTTTAACATCAGAATTATGCATACATATATAAATGCTGTATGTACCTACCATTTTAACTAATTTATTTGATCATCCCATATATTTGTCTTCTTTTGTTTCATTCTTGATTGATTCCTATGAACATGAATTCGTTAGATTATTTTGGCACGAATACAACACGATGAGTTTGTTTGGATAATATAGAAAAACAACAGCATTTGATTTATAAGACATTAAAAATAATAAATGACTACTTGAGTTTATACGACCAAAAATTTGTGAATCATATGTGAAAGTGTTACAACAAGATTATAAGACGTTTTTAGTCGTCTTAGAAAGTTTTTATGACACCTTCGAAATACAGTGTCTTTGTTAGAACATGTTTTCTTATAAGACGCGTGTATTTTAGAACATTTTTTTTCAAATAATATTATATAAAGAAATTAATACGACATTTCATTTTTCAAAATGATTGTTAAAAATGTCCTATAAATTTATTGTAACATTAATATTATATAAATTTGTCATATAAAATTTAGTTGTAAATTAAACCTGATTTTATTGTAGATAGAACTAACACCACAAATGATACTAAAATCATGTCTTTGTGCCAAGTGCAGCCAGGAATATAACAGATATGAACCACCATTATAATACGAATCATCCCACTAGAGGACGAGGCCATCAAAACGATAATAATTTGCACAATGATAGCCATGAAAGCTCATCGTCGTCATCATCATCAAATGTTGCACCATCTTTTAGACCCCACACAGGTGGTGATGTCCGATGGGAAGCCATCAATTCAGTTATTTCACGAGATCGAGAAATCGGGCTCAGCCATTTCAAACTGTTGAAAAGACTTGGATATGGAGATATTGGAAGTGTGTATCTAGTGGAGCTAAGAGGAACAAACGCCTTCTTTGCAATGAAAGTTATGGACAAGGCTTCTTTAGCCAGTCGAAACAAGCTGCTTCGAGCTCAGACCGAAAGAGAGATTTTGGGTCTTCTTGACCACCCATTTTTACCAACTCTATATTCTTACTTTGAAACCGATAAATTTTATTGCTTGGTTATGGAATTTTGCAGTGGAGGCAATCTCCATACTCTTAGACAGAAGCAACCCAACAAACATTTTACCGAGGATGCAACTAGGTATGATCATTAACCAACATCATGCAATAAAGTTGGGTTTATAACATGTCAAAAAGGTCTAACCAGACACTTTGGAGGTTGGTTCGGTGTAATCAAGGCTGGTCTTAGGATTTTCGATGCCCTGTGCGAAAATACTAAAAAAATTGTTCGTATGTCGATTTAAAGGGTTTGGGACCTAGTCAAGAAAGGCAACTCATCCCCATGCTAAAAGAATCACCACATTCAAATGAGAAAGGATGAGGAACAATAAGAATCAGTTTGGTTGTTCACTTATTTGATGACCATATTCACACACTTTAATTAGATTAGCAGCTTAGTTGATGCATTCTACGGCTTAGGCTTTTTGTTTAAAGCCCATATGATTAAAACAAAGATTTTAAAAAACATAAAAATTTGTTGCTCGTTGGGCTTATGATGTGCTGTGCAGTCGCATGGGCTGTATGTGGCCAGGGTCGGGCCTACGTGTAATCGACTCTTGCCTAAATAGTCATCGCTTTCACTTACCTTACCCTAAATGATTCTTGGCCATCAAAAGGCAGAGCCAGACCTGGATTTTCACTGAGCAGGTGCACCTCTAAGGTGGATCAAAAGCTCGCATAGTTGCCTGATATGTTTTTTGTTGAATTCAATTGTTTCAAGGGATTTTAAATTATTTTGGTTGTTTCTAAGGACTTAACTTTTTTTGTTGATTTCAAGGGGGGTTCAGTTTTTTGGGTGATTTGAGAGGCTTTTTCAGTTTTTTGGTAGACGTTCCTTGTATTTTGTAATATCATGGAGCATCATTCAAAGTTCAACGGATGCACCTTTCATACCCTTAAAAAAGTTAATTACATTAATAAGCTGAGTTGGTGCAAGAGACCCCACTTAAGCTTAATAGGTCCACCCTGAAGATGGCATAGTAGGCAACAAGTTACTGTGTAAGCGCTAACCGGTTAAATGTCACCACCATCAGTTATTGGGTAATTTTGTTAGTCCTTTCCATATCTCTTACCAGGTAAGAGTCATTCCTTGCCACACTTACCCACTGAGGTAAGTGACCTGATAAGCATTACCCGATTAGCGTTTGCTAAGCAGCCCCTGAATGCCCTAATAAAGTACTTTATACAAGCTACTGTTATGGGTCAAACAATTTTGTGTCATATGTATTTAAGTGTTATAATAAGTTTACAAGTCAATTTTTAACGTCCTAACAAGTTTCTTAGGAGATCAAAAATATCTTAGTGCCCTAATAGAATGCTTTAGAAAAACTTAGATTTATAGAACCAAATAATTATGTATCATATACAAAAGTGTTACAAAATAAGTTGATAAAACGTTTTTTTTTTAGGAATCTTAGCAAGTTTTGCAAAGCATTTTCAAAAAAAGGTATCAAGTTATCTTTTTGAAAATTATCTTTTAACACATTTTTTATAACACAATTATTATTATAAGACATTTTTTTACCCTTTTTATAGTATCAAACGATATACATCTTATTTATAAAGAATAAGTTATTAAGTTTATAAACTTATTCTTTTAAATAAAACACATATTGTTTTGATGCTATAAAAGAGTCTGTTTGACGTTTTTGACGTTCTATAAACCCGATTTTATCGTAGTAAAAATGATATAATCTCTCAATTCTTTGTTATTGTTTTTAACTTGGATTGTTTCAGGTTCTTCGCTTCAGAAATACTGTTGGCACTCGAATACCTGCACATGCTAGGGATCGTGTACAGGGATCTAAAGCCAGAAAACGTACTTGTTAGAGATGAAGGTCATATCATGCTTTCCGATTTTGACCTTTCACTCCGTTGTTCTGTCAACCCAACTCTTGTCAAGTCTTCATCGGTTCATAGCGGCAACCATCTTGGTGCCAATGGTGGCGGTGGTGGTGGAGGAGGAGGTGGCGGAGGTGGAGGTGGAGGGGGAGGAGGAGGAGGAGGCGGTAGTGGTATGATGGACGATGACAATGTGCCCGTGCAGACTAGCAATCAAGCGTCAAACTTTTTTCCAAGGATCTTGCCTTCAAAGAAGAACCGCAAATCCAAATCAGATTTCGGCCTCTTTGTGGGAGGTTCCCTTCCGGAGCTAATGGCGGAGCCCACTAACGTGCGCTCAATGTCGTTTGTGGGGACCCACGAATATTTAGCTCCCGAGATCATTCGTGGCGAAGGTCATGGGAGTGCAGTGGATTGGTGGACTTTTGGTATATTTTTGTATGAATTACTACATGGAACAACCCCATTCAAAGGGCAAGGAAATCGGGCAACACTGTTTAACGTAGTGGGGCAACCGTTAAGGTTTCCGGATAGTCCGCAGGTCAGTCATATGGCTCGGGATCTGATAAAGGGACTGCTAGTGAAGGAGCCGCAAAAGAGAATCGCGTACAGAAGAGGTGCAACAGAGATCAAACAACATCCATTTTTTGAGGGTGTGAATTGGGCGCTTGTGAGGAGCGCACATCCTCCACATGTACCTGATCCTATCGATTTCAGCCAATTTGCGAGCAAAGACTCTACGGGAAGCCACTCGTCCGAAAAGAAGGTGTCTGGAAATGGAGGTGGAAGCACAAAGAGTAGTTCTACTGACCCTTCTTATACAAACTTTGAGTACTTTTAGTATATATGTATATATATATATATATACACGTGTGTGTGTGTGTGTATATATATATATAATGAAAGCTACAACTTCCCTTAGTCGTCTCCCTCATACATGAATGTATATACAAATACCATACTCATGTATTAATTATCAAAAAGATATATATAGAAATCTCTGATTTTGTATCGTGTTCATTAATGATAATAACGCAAGACCCTTTATTTATATAAGAAACAATATATCCTCAATAGTTTCTGTAAGATAAAGAAAATCAAAAGTTGAAAATTTTAAACAAAAAATTGTTATTGAATAAGTGTGTCATCGTTTAAAGGATATGACGACCTAGATATAAATAAACATATTAAAGATAGATTATAAATATCATAGTTATTTACTTGTATCTCATCTTTATTTAAAGGGCTTTTGGTTAATGAGATATGTAGATTCATTCTCTCCATATTGTTCTTGTTTTCTTTCAGTTATTATATAACATGTTATTAGCATGTACGCTAAAATTTATTGTTATTGTCCACTGGTAAACAATTATGTAGTCCATTCCCTTGCATTGTTGAATAGCTTGCTTCCCACTACTTTAATTCAAGCAAGTATCTCTATATCTTGATTTATATATTTATAAACACGATATGTTGCTTGTTGTTTGTGGCGTTGCTCCGTTATCCATCGTTCGTTGTCACATTCGTCATATATTCTTAGTAAACTTTCTATCAGTTTTTCATATGTTAGTTTTCTTTAAGATCGTGCTTAAAAAACAATACAATTTATTCTTGATTTGATCTATAAATCTTTTTGTTATATTTTGTGGTTAAAACCGAATTGAATTAATAAGATAAAAAAACGGAGTTAATATTAACATTAAAAAAAGAGGTGCGCTAAAAGATATTTTTTAAAATTCATATATGACTTCATAGTGATTTCAATTAAACAATTGTTTGCTTTTATTTGCTTTAGCCATAAAAAACAATTACATAAAAAATAATCCTTTTTTGATAGATACAAGAGTTAAAAGATTTTTTGTTATCTCATGATCATAATCAATTGGTTTTTATCTTTTTTTCAGACATTATATATATATATATATATATATATATAGGGGCAGGTTCAAATGCGAACCGTCCAATTCTTAAAAACCGTGTGAACCAAATTCGACCAATCAGAAAATTCCATTTGTTTTCAATTAAATTTAAATAATAAGGGTGTTTATGTCATTATGTACATTTATGTAATAAATATGGAAGTTATTCATTCATATTAATTAAGGAATTAAATAAAAGAAACCGTAAAATAAAGGAAATGTTTCACTCTTTTAGGATATTACATAATTAAAATATTGATTTTAATATTTGGTATTCATTGAATCATGTTTCAATTTATGAAGATTTACGCCAATAATATGATGAAATCGTGGTTTCCTGCTGTGAGTGAAGTAAAAAAAAAACAAATATTCAAGAGAATCAAATAACATGAAGAGGTTTCATAAATGAGTGACTTATTTGAGTCTTCAATAAATATGGTATACATCATGAAACATTGTCATTGTAAAGCAAAAATTCTTATTCTAAGTTAGGCGAGAGTCGTGAAATTTTTTCATTGTGTTCCGAATATTTTTGTGTTTCAGGTTGATTCGTTTAATTGGTGTAATGAAATGGGTTTATCACGATGAAACAGTTTCTGTTTAATGAAACATTTTTTTTATTATATAATTGATTCAATATATAATAGTGATACAGTTTCATTTTAGTGAAAATGGAATTAACGGTCATGAAAAACGTTTGATATGAAAAGGTTTCATTAYGAAGTAGTTAGGCAAATAGGTTGTTGTTGGTGAAACATTTTCATTTTACAATTCATTCGAGGTTGAATACCTAGTTTCACGATGAAATAGTTTTATTTGATTTTATATGAAATTAAGGTTCACTTAAATTTTCGATATGCAAAAGTTTCATTACGAAATAGTGAATCAAATAGGTTGATACCGATGAACAATTTCATTTCATTTTATATGAAATTAAGGTTCTAGTAAAGCATCACTGTTCAAAGGTTTCAATAAGAGAAAAAAATTAAGAAAATAGGTCAATGCCGGTGAAACATTTTCACATTATATTTTCATTTTACAATCGATTCGAGGTTGAATAACTAGTTTCACGATGAAATAGTTTCATTTGATTTTAAATGAAATTAAGGTTCATTTAAATGTTCGATGTGCAACGGTTTCATTACGAAATAGTTATTCGAATAGGTTGATACCAATGAACAGTTTCATTTCATTTAATATGAAATTAAGGTTCTAGTAAAGCATCAATGTGCAAATGTTTCATTTAAAAAAAGGTTAAGCAAATAGGTCAGTCCCGGTGAAACATTTTCATATCATATTTCACTGGAGGTTGAATAATGTTTCATGTAATATGAAATTAAGGTGCAGGTAATTGATGATGATTAAAATGTTTCATTGCAAAATGTTTAAGCAAATTTGTGGGTGATAGTGAAACAGTTTCATTATCTCGATGAATAACGCTCGATGAACATGTTTCGTCGTGATATATTATAATATAGTTAATCAAATAGGTTTAGTCTGTTGAAATAATTTCATATTATATTTGATTCGAGATTGAAGAAAAAATTTTAAGATGATGGAATTTCATTGTATTGTATATGACAATAATTTTTATGTAATATTATGAAATAATTAAGAAAAATAGTTTATTCATCCTAAAACATTTTCATTACTCCTTTTTTGAAAAGATTCATTAAACATTATTGAATATGTTGTGTTTTATTAATGATTTTGATATAACTTATTGATGGATAATATTTTAGAATATGTTAACATTAAAATAGTGTATAACTTAACAAATTTAATCYGTTTCATTAATAACATAATTTACATGATATGTTTTCCATGATTAAAAAATACTATAATTTAATTTTGTTTAAATGCATCGATGTTATATATATTCATATCGTTTAAGCCACAGATAAATACGTTATTCTACGACAATGAGTGATKAGCGAGAAGGTATTTGCTCGAATGAAATTCATGACAAATATAGTACTGTTGTTGGGAATGAAGCTGATTGCTATGGTATGTCTTCTGTATTATAGTTATTAAGTCGATGTACGTTCCCTAGTATGAATTTTTGTATATTGTTCCTTCGTCTTTGTTGCCTTGAATTCGTTTCGTAGTTGTAGTATTTTTWTAAATYAGTTAGTAGGAGCAATGTTACATGTGTTTAAAAATGAAACTTCTTCATGTTAGAAAATGATGTGAAGATGCAAACTACGAATAACATATATTGTCTATTTGTTTTACATAAATCAATTTAATTAAAATCTTCAAAATAATTCTGGAATAAGCAAACGAAGAAATGTGTAAGTTAACATTTCATATAGTTATAATGTTTCATTAACATGAAAAGAA